TAAAAGTTTGGGATTATAATCATTCTAATATTTTCAAATTGATATGATGGGAAGAAAAGTCAATATGAGTTTTATTCATCATTACATCCGTTTTCATTCAATGTAATGATTACGCAATGTAGTATTTGTTTTCTTTTCTCGTGTGATATTTTATTCTGTATAATATACGATATTCTTGTATTCCGTTGACCTGAACTATGCTCACTAAGTGAATTGTTATAACATAATGTAATGTAATCCTAATTACTAATCAAAATTGGTGTACAATCAATATATAAACCAGTGTATTTTAGAATTTAATGATCATCATCGTAGTCGTTGTCGTGTTTTGGGGCTAATAAATTTTCACTTATACCAGACTTTGTGTTCTTACTTTGCGTCGTGGGAATTGCAGAGGTCCCTCGTTCCAAGTATAAGTGATCAGCGTATCCGGCACAACAATTAGTGACGACCAAACATAACACAAATCTGGAAAATATGTGAAATCAATTGGATTTTTTATAATTTATTGAACTAGTAAGAACATCACAGTAAACTGATGAACACATGTATATTTTCTGCACTGAAATTATAAAACATCACGGGTCACCTAAAGAAAACAAAATAATCCCAAGTAATGAGTTAAAATCTCGTATTTTTAAGAACTTGAAAGATCCATGGAATTTAGAATCATATCTGCATCATAAATTAACAAGAAGAAACAAACAAAACAGTTAGATGAACAAATTAACATGTAAATGTCAAGTTATATTCAGCAGGTGATCAGTTGACTTCTGACAGCAAAGGCTTTCCTGTTAATTTTTACAAATTTAAACTGTGTTCAGAAAGTAATTGAGTGAATAGCATTGTACTGCTCCAGGGTAAATCGCATATACATTACTTATTTTATAAAAGTATACGTTTGATGATAGTGTTGGTCATCAAGTTTCATTGATTTTGATATCAACATCAATTAATGGTAAACGGTAAGAAGGAACGTCTCAATAGCTACATTTCTTAACATTAAACGCAAATATATCTAATTGCATGAGAAAATTTCTTTGTTTATAAAGCATTCTTATTCTAAATCAGTGTTATATCCCGATGAGAATTATGAATGATAACTTTTAAAATTTATTTATGGACAAATATTATGCGTATATTCTGATTGCATAACTATTCAGTAGCTAGATTATGTAAACCTATACTCCTTGTATTATAAGTTTTATTTTGACCCATAGACTATTATTATACGATTTGCCGTTCTTGAGTTTTGCCCAGTCTATTAATTACAGTCTCCCACATTCACAGCCACTTTTGACTAAATCTTGTACAAATGTTATTTTCCGTTTTATGGTACGATGCGGCTTGTTTGTTTTGTATATAAACCTAGTATGTTTGAAATACATGATTCATATCGCAGAGGCTTAAATCCGTGTTCTGGACTCAACAGACAGAGCTTGGCAGGAAGAAGGGCTGATAAAAACTCTAGACAGGTCGTACGGGATTGTGATTCATTGGTCCTGTCGATAAGTCACTGTTCTCTAATTGGCGGTATCATTACATTATATACTATTAGGGCACAAGGCCACAAGTTATAACAATCAGCATTACAAGAAATATTACAAATTAGTGTGATCAATTTTTGGGGAAATTTAATTTCAAAATGTTTCAGAACAAATATAAATTTATGTATGAGAACAAATATTAAAATACAATTCTTAATGACATAATGATATTTTAGACAACAAGTACTCCTTCAATGTTTTAATTTATTTTTTGAAGTGCATATCATTTTAAATAAACAGATAAATCATAGGTTTTTTAAGATCCAACATCACGCTCACTTCCTCATTAAAAAAATCCGACTACTTAATAGCTTAAATTGTAACAAAATATACGATAAGTAGATTGAAACAAAGGTATATATTTAAAAATCTGTTACCGTATTTACATCTTGTTGCTGGTTTTCCCCAAACACTTGTGAAAGTAAACGTTTTTCAGCAAATAGTTTGTAAATTAACTATTTAACTGCGAAATTAGAGAACATAATGTATATATATTAATAAATTACATTTAGATTGACTGTTTGATTTCTTTAAAGTATCTTGTGATAATAAATAATACACTTCTTTTAAGGATTTGCAATTGAGGATTTATTGATTTATGACTGTTTTCAATGAAATGGAAAGAAAAAAGTAATAATACTGTGAAATAAATACGATGTTTGACAGATGGAATTATTAAGGAGAAGGCTTTAGAACTATGCGTTGACATGAAAAATGGTCTTATTACAATCTGCGTTGAAAAAAAGACTAAAAACAACTAAACATTGCATTACAGTTAAATTCAGGACCATTATAATGCAACAGGTAGTGATGATTGGTATTAACCATGATATATATATATATATATATATATATATATATATATATATATATTACTTATGAATGATGATCTGTCTTCATTCGCATGGATAAAACGGCGAATATTGTGTCGAAGAGTAATGATAAAATCCATTCAGAAACATAGAGTAGTTAGAGGATACGTACTAAAGTATTATATTTTTAGCAGAAGACAACTTTGGTTTGAATTAAGAGATCTGGGTTACTCAGTATGGACCAAGTTACAACATAGTCATTCATAACTTACCACCTTTCAACTGACATATCTGTATCTGATGAATGTTTCGTATCTCATCATTTTTTTAAGAATATCGTAGTTATCATGATTGCTACCAATGCTATTAACCCGTCACTTATTTCTTCGGTAATTATAGCCTTCCTCTATCTGTAATTCTTAGATTTTTGTTCATCTCAATCGCTTGCGCACGCTATTCATTATTGTATTACAAAATTTCTTCTCTTAGATCCTTTATATTCTTATCTGATAATTTTTCTTATTGCAATAACCCAATTTCCTGTTCGATATTAAGGTTCGTTCTGTTTCAATAATCTTAACAGCCCTAGAACAAACACACCTGTGTACACCGAAGAATAATATTCCTTAATATGGTAATAAATTTATTAGCATTGTTACATCTGAGTGGTTAGACCACTCATATAAGATGATGACAAATACTTGGAACAATAGAGTAAAATCAAGAAGCGAGCACAAAGGAATCAGTCAAGAAAAGCTATCTTGTTACAAATATATTAGATGAAGTCACCTGTTTCAAAAGCTGCCAATCTGCCCTTTGGATATTACCTAAGAAATAGAATATACGGACGGAACAAGATGATATCATGTAACGGTGAACAAATTCACAAAATAAATAGTTCTGTAAGTCATCGACATTGATGCTGACCTCAAGAGTTTTACTGAACACAACTAGATGAAGGCTCATGGTCACGTATACGCACTAAATTCTGAATGAGTATACCGAGCAACGCGACCTCTGCAACTGTTGATCAGCCCAAACTAAATGTGTCTTGGTATATCGATAGCCTTTTATATTTATCTTTGAATCTCCTTACTTCTGACTTCGGATTTGACTGGGTTGACACACTTCGACGTGCAAAGGTGTCATCAAACTCCGAATACCTATGACATCTTCAATCACAGTGATCTTATTACCAACGTATATAAAACATTATTCCCACATGCCCAACTTTGAATTCAAGGTTTTTAAGGTCTGAATAGATAAGTTGCTCTATTTATGAGTTTTGTTTACAAATACTTGTAGTGTGTGAAATAACTTCCTTGGACTTGGTGTATTAATGGACGGACTAACGTCACTCATCTTAGCTTTGGCCGAGACTCGGTCAGTCCATGATTTTGACGTTACTTTAGAATTATTGCGATACCACTACGTGATCAGAACAGATGCATTTAAGAGAGTGAGGTCCTTATATACACAAATAATGATGTGAACATCAGTCCCTGTGTTTGCGAATCTCATGATAGTGTAACTGGTGAAGTACCCAGTAGTAGACTCACTTTTGAAAGTTGTACATTTATACTCGGTGTCATCTAACCTACCCCGGTAATTTTAGCTGACGGCTTTATTTAGAACATATTCAACTATGGAGTAAAAGCCTCAAATGCCTGATATTAGGATATCGTAATGCGCCCAATATTTACTAGACAGAGATGGCCAATTTAGATTCTGAAATCTTTATTGATAGTAGGCTTCTTAAGAACTTACGGTATCATACTCGACTTATCTGAGGCCGCATTTGTTTTGGATCTGAAGTGGTTATGATCGAACGAATTCGATTGCGAGTGACCAAAATGAGGAAAGGTCGGTTCGGCCGTTCCTATGAAGACAGACTTAAACGCCTAAACTTGATTCGAATTGTCTAACGGCAGGTTACGAGATAATTCAGTATTGGCTAACCATGTTACAAACGATGATTTTGGTTTATTTTCTTTTGTCTTTTCCTATATTGTAACACTGATCATGTGAGAGGACACTCCAAGTCAAAAAACCGAAACCAAATCGTATACTCCCGAGACTTTTTCACCGCACCGAGTATAGAACGGGTGAAATCCTCCATCAGAACATGTAACATCAACACTGTCTGTTGATGCATTCAAAAGCGAGAACAAATCTTCGAATAACTATAAATTGCAAGGATTACTGCAGATCGATTGACCTCCTATCCTCAATACGAAATGCTGATGAATGGAGCAGCTGGTATATAAAATCATTGTTGCACTGAGGCAAACACACTCAGTCAAACGCCTAGATATAAAATCCTTAGATGTTGATCTTTCTGATTAGGATTAGTTCAGTCGAGTTATAGACAATAATCCAGTTTGACATTACCAAAGACCGAAAACTGTAAATCGATAGAAAGGAAGGAAGGCTAAGAAATCTCTCGGTTAAAACAAACTTACTTTTAAGCAACCAATTTTTTCCAATCATTTATTGTAACTGATATTGTAAGCAAACTGTGTTTTTAGAAGTTTTAAACATTTTAACGAGTATATGTCTGAAAAATACTGTTCAAACTGTGATGTCACGTGTGTTTTAATTAGTTAAATGGTTGTAACCTTGATCTATAGCAACCAAACATATTACACTTTTAAATATCTCATTTGGAAATCTTGTTTTCACAAATAATCATGACAAGCGTCCTTTCTTCGAGAAATCCAGAGGGAACATACAGTTTTGCTAGTCAGCCCAAAGTGGTTTCAAGGAGAAAAATTTATCGAGAGAATATGTAATTTATATATTCATAAATTTTTACACAATATCAGAGAAGAAGATATAAACAGTAACTACGGAAATATTATGTACGATAGAAGAGTAATCAGAGGAAACACATATGCTTTGCATGTATTGCCTGCTCACGCTCAGCCCGATCCAGTTGAAATTCAGAAACAAATAGAAAGGAAACGTAACGCTATCGCTCGTCGTAGAATGCGTGAAGAAGTATGTTTTCATCAAAAAACAGTAATGTCAATTTTTTCGCATTTGTGTATTGTATGCGACAAACAAATTAGAACTACACTCCGATGCTTAGATACAGACATTACAAATAGAATCTCCGCTATTATTTTTTTGTTAATTATTAACTCTTTCCTTGTCTTAGTTGACTAAAGACGTCAGCCACATTTGGCTTTATTTTTGCAAATTTGCCTAAGTTATAGCACTTCGATAGTTTAACACAAACGAAAAAGTATTTTAGCAGATATACTTCATTAAAAATATCATAACTTTTAAAAAGGTCTGAATTCCTGTAAAATTTCCTTATATCCATAAGTCTCGTTTAGTCTCAAAACCATGTTAATCCGCTGTTAGTGTTTATAGTTGCCTGCTTACACTTACTAACTATAGATTTAGTGAATTCTAAGACTTTTGGAAAGCAAACATAAAAATTTACATTATTTGATTTATGCACTGCGGATTAGCAATGAGTGAAGACTCTAGAGCTCGAAAACAATCTTTACTTCGCCGCTTTATATTATTAAAATTGCTATCAACAGTTTCGTCTATTTTTGAATGATAGACTTGTTTGGTTTGGGATTATCAGAACTATGTGGTATATCAGCACAATACATTTTTCACAACCTGAACACATACTTTCTAAGAATATTTTGGTATGAGAAAGTAAAAGATCGACAAGATAAATGGTAAACACTCTAAAGACCAAGAAATAATACGAATAACAATGTGAAGCTCACCACGCTGTGCAATATATCTATATATCCGGGGTATAGATAAGATGCGAACGAGATGTTCTGGAAGCCGGTTTTGCTGGTAAGGCGTGTCTATAATCTCAAAGGAACCAGATGTTCCAGCATAAAACATGTGTATGGAAGGCATCTTAATTCATACTTGACTTTTTTACAGCATATTTATAATTAAATACACAAGGTTTTTTTGTATTCCAAATGAAATCTTCAGTGCATTTCAGGAGCTTGTAGACGAGAATCTTATAATAATACTAGTAAAAACAGTTTATAAATCTCTTGAACACATTTCACAACATAGATAAGTACATAGAACATTGTTAATCCCACTAGGAATTGTTTTGTTAAACTGTTGATCAACATTCACCCATTTCTGATTTCCAAACACGATAATAGAATTCTAAGTATTTCATTATAATGCCTCTCAATATTCTAAAATATGTATGATCTAATATAAAATCAGTAAAAGCACCGATTGCTTTCAAAGTAAAATTAGATGAACTCTTAAATTATGTACGGCGGACCAACAGTTGGTGAATTTCTTGAATGATACTATTTTACAATTTATGTACGATTACCTTTAGCCCAATTAGCTATTTCTCTAAACTAGATCATAGATTAAACTGGCCATAAGTACTACATAACACAATTACTTCAGTGTGCGTGGTTAGAATTATTTTAACTATTACATTTGAAACCTTTTTTAATTTATATATATTTACAAATCACTTAATGATTGATAATTTTGTTGCTGTTGGAAAAATTAGCTCAGACCAAAATCCCCATTACCTCTAGATGGTAGACTTCATCAACCAGTTCAAACAGAACTTTACCTGGAAGCTCTTACGGAACAAATCGAAGAAGCAGATGAAACTTGTCAGACCGACGACTTTCTTGACAGACCACCTACTCCTCTTTACGTACCAGCCAAAGTTGGTGTAGATGTAATGACTCAAATATATGAAGGAGATGTGAGTCGAAGAAACTTATTTATTAGTTTTGCCCTTACGTTTTATCAGGGAGTGGATACAATTTGATAGATAAAGTATAATAAGTCAGTCATCCGTTACAAACAACGTAGAACTTGTCATATGTATGGATCAGTTAAGTTTATATCACCAAATCAGCATATGAAAATAAAATTACGAAGACAAATGTTAGAATATTGAAAGAAATAAAGGTGTCCGTGTTGACAAAAGATTTTACGCATTAACAATTTTATTTAAGAAAGAAGAATGAATTCGATAAACCAAAAAGCATAGAATGGCTTTAAAACTACAGAATTTGACTTGAAAATAGATTTCATTAGTTTTGGAAAAAAGTAGTCATAATAGAAACATGAAATATCTAAAGTTATTCTTTGATGAATTAGTTTGTTGTTTTTTAAATAGCAATATTGCGGTACTTTTTATGTAATCAGTATTGCATGCTTTTTTTAAGTCATTAATTATTTTAAAGATGGTTTTCGTCATTGACTAAAATCAGTTTAATGCTTGAGTTACCAAATAATTGTTTAAAATTATCTTGTTCACAGATACTGATGCTTCATTTGATAGTTATTTGTAGTAGGTCGATGAAAGTAAGATATAATCAGCCAGTGATAGTAGACAGATAGACACATAGCCTACCAAATGTTGTTACACTATTAATCTTGCAATTTCTTTCATTGTATCGATTTTATTTCGGGATTCACTGGTCGTAAAAACTCCTTAATGTATTGTAAAACTATTTTCTGGCTCTTAGTCTTCCAATTAAATCTCGTGTAGCGGCGTATAACGTGACCTGGTTTATATTTAGCGTGCCCATTCTAGTAATCGCATAATCTCGTGCTCAAGTTGTAATGAAGTATCATATAGAATCGAACACAGAAACCATTAGAAACATTCAGAGACTTTGGATTTGATTATTATGAAGTCGTAACCATGGATTGCTAATAAATCTGAAAGTGGGGGGGAAATAGGTTTTCGTTTCTCCTTCATTGTTATTGCTGCAAAAAATTACTTTGTAAACGACCTTCCGAAACCATAAGCTTTTACATAAAAAACCCACCATTCAAAATTAGAGGATAACTGAACGCATAGTTTGCACTTCGTGTTAGGAAATTGTTTGTTGAGACGCACGAATTAATATCATTCAGAATCATTCATCTGTTGTATTTTGATTGCCTTACTGAGGAACTAAAAGTGGAAATATCTATTTTAGTATCAAAAGAATAACAATTCAGTATTAAAAATGACAGTGGCGTAGTAAACATAAATATTTATTTCATATTCATTCTATATATATTTGGATTTTGAAACAAGAATTTCAATAAATAATTCAATATAATTAATGTCATTTAATTACTTATTTTTCAGCTTTTTGACTTTGATTTAGAAGTTACGCCAATATTAGAAGTTTTAATTGGTAAAACAATTGAACAATCTTTACTTGAAATTGCGGAAGAAGAAGAACTAGCTAGTATACGTGCTCAACAGAATGCTTTTGAAGAAATACGTCAAGCTGATCTTTTAGAGGTTGCTAGACTTACAGAACGTGAAAGACGCATACAGTAAGTTATAAAATATGAACAGATTTGTACAATGAATAAATAATGATATGATAATACCACTAAAACTGTTGTATGCCGGCTCAGTAGTCTAGGTGTTAAGTGTTTGCGTGCGAGGCCGAGGGTCTTGAGTTCAACTCCCGCGGGTGTAATCGTGGATGCTCAATGCTGAGAAGTTTCACAACGGGACGAAACGGCCGCCCAGTACTGTTACGTTTGTAATGGTGGTCTAACATCTATCGATTCATGATCGCAATGAATAACAGGATTATTAATATTGAAGTTAATTAACACTTTAGATTAATAATATTACTTTTTCCATCAGCAAATATAATCATTTATTACAAAAACTGTATAGAATAATTTAAAATCGTTGTTTAAATACATTTTAAAATATTTAAAATTTTACGATAAACTTTAAAATGGTTAACTCAATCACTTTATTTTACTGCACATTCTGTAACTGCACGTTAACAACATCCAAACTATCTTGAATAGTGTAAAACTATTCTGTCTAACTGATCATTTACATTCAAGTAAATATTACTTCAAGGGTGCAAACAACATAGGTGTGTTGAAAGACTACGGGTTTTCTTAAGCTTTGTCTCTTTAGTTTGCCATTAATCCATATAATTCCTGTTCAACTGCTTTCTTTGAACTGTTATCTATGAATATGGCTGAAAAAATTTTATACAAGTCCGCTTTTGTTTAGTTGAAAAAGACCGATTTTTCTCGCTTTTCCAAAAATAATACTGATTATAGGGCAGATGTTATTATAGCATTCGCTGGTAGATTACGTAACAGATACTTGTTAAACCATTAAATATTTCATATTGTTTGAATCTTAAGTTACCACAATGGAAAAGAATTATAAACATAACAAACATGAATTATTACTAATACATAAATAATTTCGTAGAAAAAACTCAACAGTAAAATAACTGAACACCGATAACCACGACGTGCAATGCTAAGCGGTGTTGGGTGTGGTCGGAAGAAAGTTAGGAGCGGCCAAAACAAAACGTAGAATCAGTGCTTGAAGTCACTAACTTCTAGTCTGAGCCATGTTGGTAGATGCTGACTATTTGGTTGGGGTCCTCGTGACTATTGTAACCAATGGCTGGAAACTCTTGATGACATGGCTCAGAACCGATCACAGTGGCGTCGGTGTATACAATCTCTGTCTTCCCTTAAATTATGAGATTAAAATTGCTTTATATTCTTTTCTCTACGAGCTAATTCTTTCTTCCTGTACTATCTCCTTATACACAATCTTCCTTTTATGTGTTACCACCATTGAATTAACTACTTCTATGAATCCGGTGTTCATCTTGCTGTGCTAATGTGGTATGGCAACTTTGACGGATGCATATATGTGGCTGGTACTAGGTTGTAGCTGACTGACTTAATAAACTCTGGTCTATCGTTATTGATATCTGCTATGGCACAGATTCAAACCAAGAAGTCCATATTTCTCACTACCTGTTAAGTCAGTTGTCAGAGTAAATATGTGACAAAAAAGACTTGACTAATGATAATTCGAAACTGGATGATAATAAAATAATGTAGAACACTTAACGACTTTTTAAAATCTTTTAAGAAATAATGGCAAAACACACTCACATGAGTAGAAGGACAAATACTTGAAAGCTATCGAATCGAACCTTTACAAATAGCAACATATTCACTGAAAAAGTTAGTGACTAAGTACACTGTGTAGCTTATGATTATTTGAAGAAATAGTTAGTAGCTTCAGGTCTTAATATGAATATCCGTACTTTGGCACAGGTATAAAAAGTTGATGATTCTCTAATAGAACGAAATGCTCGGTCTAAATTTCAATGTTGACCTACATCCAAATATATTAAAACCTTGTAAGTACAAAACAATATTGAGTAATTCACTCAAATCAAATCAAATACGCTCAACTACAGTTCTGAATACCAAAAAAGAATAAAACAAAATACAAACCCTTACAAATAACTTAATATAACTAACTTCACAGATTTCAAAAGAATAAATAAAGGACAAGCGCATTTAGAATATTAAGTCTATATTCCAAGTTGATGGATTTCCGATCAAAGTAATTAATGTTACATCATGTTGGAAATAATTATGGTTTATCATTTCCGAAAGATCATTGGATTTTATATACAGTGTAAACTATTTAGTTAAATTTAATTTTATTAGTAAAGTACGGTCCTTAATTAATCTGATTGACACTAATGGTTAACCACTCATTTCAGAGAGATTAAATGTTCATTTTGTCATATTATTTTAGAATAAAGTGATGTTGAACGAGATGCTTGGTCAGTCATAAAAAAAAACTAAAACTTGGGATTGCTGTGTATCAGTTTAAGTTGTATTCTTTAATTAAGGACGTTAACCAAAGGAGAATAAAAAACATTACAACCATAGAATCATCAAATCTAATGTTGAATAAAAAAAAGTATAAAATCAAATAATAAAATATATTAGAGAACAATGTGGTTGTATGCTGCTTATAGTGATAGATATAAGTAGTATATAACACCAATCAGAAGAATGAAAAGATCGAATTGAACAGAACAAGAATGTAAATAAGAAGTAATTTTAATAACAATAGGAATGAATGAATGATAAAGTTTGTAAGAGACAACTGATGGAAAATGTGCAAATAATGTGTTCAATGTACAGTTTTCATATTTTATGAACATACTCTGTAATTTCACATTGGTCTTCCCCATTTGACTTATCGTTCACTACAACACTATAATTGAGGATTTACTTAGAAAAAAGAAGAAAACATCTAGTTTATCGTGACTAATATTGATTTGTTATTCTTGTAGTAACTTACTATATATTACAATCATTACATTATTAACACCAACAAGTTCAATACACATTGACTAGAACAATTGAATTTGATTCATTGGAAAATATTTTCAGATTGTTTCAATCAATTATTTTAGAGAAGAAAAAGAACGACGTAAAGCTCAATTTCTAGCTGTAATTGAACAAGAAAAAGAATTGACTACAAAAGTTACTGCTCAAGCTTTTGCCAAAGCTTATTTAGCTGATTTACAAACACATGTATTTAATAATTTAACCGAAACGGGTTACTTTTATGATCCAATTGAACGAGGTAAAATATATAAATATTAATTTAAATTAATTGAATTCAATATAATAAATATTTTCAGTTTATATTAAAAGTATATAATATCAGTGAATTAGTTAATCATTAGATATCAGTTTTTAATGTTTTCATTTATAAAATTTCAAAGAGATATAATCATGTATCAATGATAATATTAACAAGTCTTGCTAATTGAACGCTATATACGGTTCCTAAGCTATTCTCGTAACTCCCAAGCTAGTACGACACAGCGACTTGAACACAAGAGAAAAGGCGAAAAATATTCAAGAAGCATTTTACTTCGAAGGTTCGTTTTAGTACAGAAAATATGGTGTTTTTATAGTATTTTAGATGTCCTTGGGTTTCCCCAGAATTCCGGAATACTACTAAACATAGTAGCAGTATAGCAATCAACCAATCAGAACATCTGCATGTGATTTTTCACTTCCTTGATGTTTCTGGCTAAACTTCAAGTGAACACTGATTGGATAAAATGCTTCTTAGTGTTTCCTGATCCTTGCTTGTCTTTTGTGAGAAGTTTTCTGGATCACTCCAACAGATATTCAATCTGAACATAGATACATTCCTTTGCAACTATTAAGGTGTTAGTTGATTCATTTATTGTTAGTCATTATATTCATTCATATGAATAGGAAAACTAACTTCAAACACATCTTTCAATAGATTACATCTTAAAGATAAATTTAGCTATAGAAGTTTCATGATTTAGATAACTTATTTCAAGATTACAAAAGTAGTTATGGTAACAGTCAAAATTACATACTGTTTAAAATTTAAGAAAGAACACTACTTTTTAAGGTTCCCATTTCATAACTTATTGCATTAAAAACGAGTTGTTTACATAGTTTGAAAACTACATTTTGGTGAATAATATTCTTAGTATGGTGAATTGTTAAAGTGAGAATTGTTCGAAACCAGTATCATTTATTGGTATCACAAATAACCAAGTTCAGAAGAAGAGATGAATCGTAGACTCAGGCTATTTGGGAATAACCAAAATATTTGATCTATAGAATCTTGTCAGTAATGGAGATTAAACAACATAAAATAGATTACCTCAAAAAAGATATCACTTCACTCGAAGATTGTTTACAGATCGAGTACATATGAAAATCGGAAACAACTGTTTCAAATGGCACAAATTTAGGAAAATTACTAGGAGTACTACACGACAATAGATATGATTGATGGAAATTGGTAGAAAATGAAATTGATTACTGGGTAACATTAAGTAGTACAAGGCAGCACACAAAAGTTATCGGATAGGAAAAAAACTAAAACAAGATGAGTAAAGAAGGTTAAAAATAATAATTGCAGAGTTCACTAACAATCATCATTTTTAGCAACGAACCAAGTGTTTATGTAAAAAATTCATTTCATAGACGATTGTTTTAAGGGAACTACAAATGGGGTAGACAATTTTAATCGAACATGGGATCGCCATTTTGTACGTTGATCTCTTCAATCGTTTGAGATGCTTAGTTATTTTTTTCGAAACTTCGAGCTTCTTTTAGTTCGATATACGAATTAAAACAAAGCGGACTAGAAATAACTTAGCCGGCTTCAAGATATGAGAATTCGCTTTTGAAACTGTGACACAATAGCTATTGAGTTTTCCTTGATTTTTGATATCTCGCTAAACAATGCTAAAAATATATATGATACTAATAATACACTATACTGTGTCCAGCAATACATATGGCATGGAAGCATTTTCTTCCAACTTGTTTCCAGGATTAAGAACTGAGAGTTGGACGTCTAGAAAATTAGTGAGTGTAGACTAAATGGTGAATGTAATCATTTCAGATATAACACATGACAACTGGATAAAATATTCATAAATCTATTACCCGTTACAGTTATTTTGTCTCTCAATCTGTTTCGTTTTTGCAGATATTGAAGAAGGATTTTTACCTTGGCTTATGGAACAAATCGATGAAGAACTTGAATTATGGAATGATGCTTGTCTATTATTAGATGGAATGATTAGAGAAGTTAGTTTTATGATCTTAAGCTCTGCCTTATAAACTGATTTTCTCAAATCTTTCCATTTGGTTTATAACAGAAATTTATCATCCTGATTGGAAAATAGTTGAACTTGTTGAAAATGAATTTACGCTAGTAGGCCCCCCTGAATTAAAATTATACATAAATTGAATTACTAAACGTTTTTTTTGAACTGGCACTGATTTAGAAAACACGAAGCTCTGGATCTCTTCTCTACTCTGGTTCATTAACTCCCTAGAAGTGCCCACCAACGAAATTAATACAATCCGGTAATAATGTACTATAGAGTTACCAATTAGGAGTATAACAACAAAGCTATTTCAGAAAGTCTACAATAAATTTTCATATAATTTACATTATCAAATCAATTAATTATTACTTAGGTTGTTCAGGAAAGACACCATGAATATCGGCAATTAGAACTAATGGCCGCTGAAATGGCGTTGATGCAAGAAGCAGGTGCTGCTTTAACAGGTCAATCAGACCAACCGGAACCACGTGATGAGCTTACCGAAGATAGCAAAATTGAAAATATCATTGAATCTTCTTTTGATAAAGAACCAGGAGAAGACGACGAAGAAGAGAAAACTGAAAAGGATGACCGAAATGATGAAAGTGAAATACAGGCGGAAGGGGAGAAAGATGAAACGAATAGTGAAGTGAGTTTGTTGAACTAGTCTAATCTAATGTTTATGCACGCTTTATGGTGAAAGTTTTGTGACCAAATCAATGGCATCGCTTAAAGACATAAATTTTCATACTTTTATTAAATATTCACTACTCATTACATTATTTGATATGACTAATTCACGTAACGTGTTGTAATTTATGAAGTAAATGATGCTAAGAGTGACAGCTAATCTTTAAGTAATTATTCATTATTGTGTATAATTTAGGCTATTAAATATGTTTTATAGAAGATAAGGCAACAATAAGTGATACTCTCATACTTCGCAAATTCAAGGTCATAAATTATTCAACATTCATCAATAAATGCTATGATAGACAATCTAGGGCAACTTATAAGATTAAATATATAAGTGACGGGTAAAACAAACACAGCGCTTGTCACCACTTTGATGCTAATTTATATTGAAATCATGGCTGTGCAATATCAATAAGAATCATTAGGCTGGAAAATATAGTAACATGAATTAATAAAAGTTTAACAGACCGAGCAAACCAAAATTTTACATTACGTATCATGGGCGTACCTTAGAAAATATGATTACTCTACTAGGCAGGTTAATTTTAACATAGGTCTCTGTATAAGTCAGTTCATTTACCTATAAATATTCGTGTTATATGTACTTTCATGAGTCCTCTAGAAACAAGATCTTCAATGTATTCTTGTCTTTTCAATCTGTATGGCTGGGTTAGCCAAGCAATAGAAGTATATTTGGTGGTTGAACCGAATTGCAGGTAATGAAGAGGAAGTAAATTTTCATTTCAACTTCAAACTTTCCACCAGTTTATACTATGAACCCTACTTTAGGATTTAATTGAGTAAATGTTGTTGGCTCTAATATTAATATGCTAGGGTTAAATATTCAGTGCTAGTTAATGACGAAGACTATTAGTTAGGTTCATTGCATTATCAGATTGGGTTAGAACTATCATACTGTTAGTACTTTGACTGATTTTCGATTAGTCATAGTTGGCACACCGTGTACACTACCTCAGTATAATCCTTTTGTATCAACTTGTATAAACTAAATGGCTCGTTGCCAGCAGCGGAATCTGGGAAGTCATATAACACTATTTGGGACTCTTCACCTATATCCCATTGTTAGTGTCTATTTTGAAGGGATAAATCAGTGGATAAGACACTGGGTACACATCAAGTGTTGAATACAGGCACATCCAACCGATGAGCTGCAAATAGGACGAAACATGAGCGTTGAATCCCACTATTATCTAGAATTTGTCTGGCCTATATTAGTTAAGCTACTAAGAAACAATAGGGGTTTATATAATTCCCATCCCATCGCAAAACTAATTGACATAGAAATAACAATTATAATAGGATAATAAAAGGTTTACTGATTCCATGGATTATTTTCAACTACTTACAAGCCAATATAATTCTAGCGAAACAAGAGATTTATTATTTGGTTTCACATCAGATAAAACAAATGTGACAGTTTTTAGTAACTATGTATACCAACAGCTGAATATTCCAGAAGTTTGAAAAAATATATGTGATATTACCTATTTACAGATTACAGGCTCATTTACTTGGCTTTGAGTCATACTGTTTGTATGAGGGTTACTAATAATATCTGGTTCACTCCAAATTGAAGAACGTGGAGCAATGTTTGAATCCATAATTGAAAAACCACTGCTCCACGAGAAGCACATGAGAACGTTGTAACTCACATAAGTAAAAATGGGAAGCAATAGGGTGAGAAAAAGATATTTCAACATATACCTTGAAGGAAGAGCTATGAAATAAGGCACAACCATGGTAATTTGAGATTGATGATACTGTACTATTGTATACACATTAAGATTTTTCCCATTTATACTGAATTTTCCATTTAGATGAATGATCAGAATGGTGATGAAATAGATGAAGAATAATGTCACGTTAACAATCAGAAATAATATTTGGTTACACTGAATAACTGGGATCTACAGAATGTGATTGCATATTTTATCTTACGGAAACTATATGTACAAATATTAAATATTTATTTACTTAATGAAATACAATAGAATGAGCGAAAATAATTAGTCTTTCTGTTTAGTTTTATTTTTCCAGTCCATAAACTTTACTTTTATGAATAATTGCTTAATGAATATCAAGATAAACGCAAAAGTAGTCTGAAAACCAAAAATAAAACTGATTATTTAATTCCTAAACTGTAATCTATTGTAATAACAACTGGTACCTATATCAACATGATCTGCTCATTATAACTCAGTGGCTAATACTTCAATATTTGAAGAATGCTGAACTTGAGTTTCACTGGAGATAACAATTCTATGTTATAAGTATATCCGACTGATAAGGCACAAATGAAGACAAACAAGAATTCTGGATCCCCTTATTAGCCATAAACAAATGTGACTGGTAGGTCAACCACTCTAATATATTTTTCCGTTATTATTTTGAATGATCAGTTTTCAGAAAACACTTGTAGTTGGCAGTACCCGTTGTCTGTGCAAAGGGATTAAGTATATTACTTCCTGGCTGAGCTCAAATACTTCGGGATCAAGTCACTCTCTACAATTACTGCCCCTAAATGTCCTGGTACGGCTGAGTGAGGAGAACCCTCTTCCACTCTCGAAATGTTCTCATATGGTGTTGTGGTGATCCTGAAAATTTCTCGCAAAAGACATGCAAGGATCAGGAAACACTAAGAAGCATTTCGTGCTATATGCGTTCACTTGAAGTTTCAGCCAGAAACATTAAAAAAGTGAAACGTCACATGCAGAGGTTCTGACTGGCTGATTGCTATACTGCTACTATGTTTAGTGACATTCGAGAATTCTCGGGAAACCCAAGGACGTTTTAAATATTATAAAGACCCTATCTTTTCTGTATTAGAATGAACCTTGGAGTAAAGTATTTTCGTATACTTTCCGCATTCTCTCTCGTGTTCAGGTCGCTGTATAGTTCTAGCTTGGGGGTTTCAAGAATAGCTTAGAAACCAAGTATAGCGTTCAAATTTTAAGACTTATCATATGGCCACATGTTTATAGCCACTATCGTGGCGGGGTTGTTGTTTACGAAAATGAGAGGACGAAAAGCGAATGTCCGGCGCTATAACCGGATCCCAAATCAATGGTGTACATGGGCTCCAGTATCCTGCGGGAACAAATGACATATGAACCAGTCGTCGGTCACCGGCTACCATGGGACTGAATCTCCTTACGATGCTCCACTACTTTGTGGGTCAGACCTTCAGGTCGAAGGCTACGGGGTGTGGTCCCCTAAGAAAAGCACCTGCTTCGGTCTGGGCACCCGGGCAGTATCACTGCTCTCACACAAATTAAATGAGATTTGTGTGGCGCATATGTATTTGATGTCTCCCTGTACCAATATCTATGTGTTAAAATAAAATAAAAATAGCCACTATCAGGGAAGTCTTAATCACTTCCTTCTCTAGGCGGAGCTGCTGTTTACGTATTTTAGAGGACAAGAGGCGAAAGTCCGGCGCTTTATCCATGTTGGTGGGTACAGAGTATCCACTAAAGGTTGTTGAAAAACCCTGATTTCAAACCGGTATCGCACATTCGCTCCAGGATCCTGAGGGAGCAAATGGAGTATGGACCTATTTTCGGTCACCAACTACTCTGGGACCACATCTCCGAACGTCGCTTCACTGCCATTTGGATTTCAGGTAGTTATCTCCGAAGAAAATCACTTGTCTCGGTTTGGGCAGCTGAACAATATCCGAGTCCACACAACTATTTTATGTTGCACATAAATATTTTGGCGACTTTTTGTACCAACGTTTACGTGTTTGAATAGATAAACTACAATAACTACATTTAAAGAGGTATTTTAGATGGAGCTGGATAGGTTTCAGAAAAACTAACCCAATTATTGCTTTCCAGGAGTGCTACTGTTTTTACTTTTCGAACTTTTGTAGGTTCTTTCGGCAAAACATTTCACATGGAATTATTTAAGTGACTTCTTCGTTTTCGAACTTATTGCTGTACCTAAATCTGTACTTAACCCACTCCAGTTATTAACACATAAATGGTTTATTCTTTAGATAATGTGGTGTGTAATTAAAGAGCATCATTTTGAAGGAATTCGTTATAATTATTAGTAGAAATACTTCGAAATAGCCCAAAGGAGGAATACGTCATAGCATTTCAAAAAAGCCTTTTAAAAATTCATTAAAACTGTACAAGATGATATATGTATCAGTTATTTACAGTTATTCTTTTTCCTCTCTCAATCACTATCACTATGGTCTGAATAAACCATTCCAGGTAATGGTTGACACGGCTGAGTATTATCATTATTATCATTACTGTTACATGACACCTGTTGATTAACATTACTATCTTTTGATTTATCATTTGTTAACGAATTATTCGTTGAGGAATCTGAAACATTTATGTTATTCATGGTCAATGCTTTATAATCACCATCAAGCTTTGGAATTTTAGTTTCTGATACTGACCTCTTTTGAACCCGTAAAACACCTTGAAGTTGTCGCTTTAGATAAGATTTCCCAATCTATGAAAAAATAGAAATCATAAATAATAGAGGACTAGGTATTGTAACGAACAATCAAGGAAATAGTATTTAAATAATAGATACAGGTATATATGACAATTTTTCCTGTTGTTACGCGATCCCAAGTCAGGGAAACTAGCTTCCTATACTTCATTGTGATCACAGGGTGTGAGTGAAGTATGATCTAATGCTCGTTTCGATTAACAGTCAAACAATTTACATTATTATTATCATTTACTACGTCATTTATTCACTCTCTTTTATTCCCACTTTATGTATCCTTGTTTTTCGACTTATACAGCAGCTCGCCTATGGTGGAAACTCGGTTCTATCTAAACGTCACTGCCTGGTTGAAAATTGTATACTACCACCAAATACGAATACTGAAGCAGTTTTTCTGCAACCACGTGCACCATTCAAACTGGCTGCCTTCAACGTTCGCACACTTATGCAGGTCGGACAACAGATAAGGCTGGCTATGTCTTTGGAAAGTCTTAATATTGATGTGTGTTGTCTATCTGAGACCCGTATTCAAGACTCTGGTGAAGTACTACAAATTCGCTCTCCATCTGTCGCTTCAAAAAGCTTGTTTTACGTGCGTTCATCCGGGGACCCTGTGGCATCTTCGTCCAGTCTTGCTGGTGCTGGTGTCGCACCAAGCGCTAGAGCTGAGGCAGCACTAATCGACTGGATCCCCATTAACATTCGGCTATGTGCTGTTACATTAGAAAGTTCCATCAAAGTGAGAAGAAATAGGCGTGAGAAACGATGTCTTTTCGTCATCTCCACTGTGCCCCGACAGATTGCATCCCAGATGCAATGAAGGATGAATTCGAACACCAGTTAACTGTTTTTCTCCAGAAAGTGCGTTTGGTCAGACTGTCCTGCCCTCTATGGCCGGTGACGACCGACCCACCAAATAAGACGGAAGTCCGAAAGGAACTCCAACTCTTGAAACGCTACAAATCACCGGGCCCAGATAATTTACCTCCGGCTCTTTTTAAAGATGGTGGTGACTTTCTGGCTAATGGACTGACTGTGTTGTTTACAAAGGTCTGGGAATTAGAGAGTGTACCAGAGTCATGGAATGAGTCGATAGTTCACGTCGTTCCTGTAACAACTATCGGGGGATTTTACTTCCGATTGCATCCAAGTTATTGGCTTCCGTCATACTTCCTAGGTTGTTCAAAACCCGAGAAAGATTGACTCGCGAGGAGCAGGCTGGTTTTCGTTCCGGTCGAGGATGTATTGATCATATCTTCACCCTCCGCCAAATGTTAGAACACCGTCAAAATCGTAGTGTTTCTTGATATCAGGGCTGCCTTCGATTCGTTGGACAGAACTGTTCTCTGGGATTGTCTGTTGAAGAAGGGTGTGCCTGAGAGGTTTATTAACATCCTAAAAGCCCTATACACAAACACCTCAGGCAGAGTGAGGGCATACAACCACCTTTCTCCACTATTCCATTCGAGCAGTGGGGTTAGGCAGGGTTGCCCAATCTCACCATTCCTCTTTAACTTTGCCATCGATGACATTCTGGAATTAGCTCTGATGGATGTAAGTAATGGTGGTGTGGATCTGTTGCTTGGAGAAAGACTTCTCGACCTTGAGTATGCGGATGATATTGTCTTACTGTGCGAGAATGCCCAAGCCATGCAATCCGCACTTAATCAGTTGGCAATCAGTGTCCGTAGGTATGGTATGTGCTTTGCACCTTCGAAGTGCAAAATACTTCTACAAGATTGGCAGGATTCTAATCCTTTACTCACTCTGGATGGTGAGCAGATAGAAGTAGTCGAGAACTTCGTGTATCTAGGTAGCTGCATAAGTGCTGGTGGTGGCGTGAGTGATGAGATCGATTCACGTATAATGAAGGTCAAAGCCGCTTATGTCAATTTGGGCCGCCTTTGGCACCTTCGTGATGTTAGTCTGGCTGTAAAAGGTCGGATCTACAATGCGTCGGTGAGAGCAGTTCTGCTCTATGCTTGTGAAGCCTGGCCTCTCCGAGTTGAGGATGTTAGACGACTCTCTGTGTTCGATCATCGCTGTCTCCGAAGGATTGCTGACATCCAGTGGCAACACCATGTCAGTAATGCAGAGGTTCGGCGTCGTGTGTTCGGGCACAGAGACGATAATGCAATTGGTGTCACCATCTTGAAACACCGACTTCGGTGGCTTGGACATGTTCTACGAATGTCGTTCCAGAGAATTCCACGTCGTGCATTATTTGCCGACGCTGGCATTGGTTGGAAAAAGCGGAGAGGTGGTCAGTGTTTGATATGGTGTCGGGGTATGAAAGAAATCTGCGAAGGGCTGGCTTGTGTTGATCCTTCACGACTCCCTGGCTGGGGTACGAGAGGTGGTGCGACACAGTGGCTAGAGATGTTATCAGATATGGCTCAGAATAGAAGCCAGTGGCGATCCTGCTGTAACCTTCTTCATAAAATGTGGTTGCTTCTTCCTTAGCTGAAAGATTTCTTCTGATTGTACCTTTCTGTTTCCCCCATTATTTATATTATTATTGTTATTATTATTATCATTATTATTATTATTATACTGGTATAATTCTCTTACGTTTATAACCCAGCTATTCCTATTGCTTAGTATTCTCGGACACCAATTAATTCGATAAGTCCTCAAATCAGAACACGGTTGAACAGGAAAGACATTATATTCCAAATAACAAGGTTAGTTGGAAGAGACACAATAGGAAAAACGTCAATAAATTTATAGTTTTTACATGAGAAGATTCTAGAGTGTTCTCCAAGTATCGACTAGCGCTAGTTGGACAAGAATTAGCCAATCAGCGTGCGCCAACGCAATCTTGCATTGAGCATGATTTAATCCAATCTATGTCCCGCTAACAACTACCTTACACTAATCTGGTCGTTATTGTTCTTCTTTTTCCTCTTTTACGCTCTTTACCTTTTTTTCTTCCCATTCTTATTGTTTTGTGCGGCGCATATATATTTGGTGCTCTCTTGTACCAATAGTTATGTGTTCAATAATTAAATAAATAACACTTGCAAATGTCCCTTACACAGCTTTCTTAGAGTTAAGAGGAAAGTCAATTTTGTGCCCTAATTTTGATTACGAATTTAGTTTAACAAATATCAAGAAACATGTTGAGATGAACCTTAAGTTTGAATGTATGACAAGCTCCCACAAAGTTCGACTTTAGTCTATTTAATTATTAACGAAGGAACTGTTGTATAGCAACCCGTTATTACTGTTGTGAAAAGACGTGTCTGGTAAAAAATTCGAACCCAAACCATATGAGTTTGTGCACTTAAGATGTTAAAAAAGTATAATTGATATCACTTTATCAAATGAAGATTAGAAAAAAAGTGTCTAAACTATTTGTTGGTTTTGGGCTAGTTGAATAATCAGAAACTTTTTTAGGAAACAACAAGAACGACAACAAACGTAAAGTTGACCTTTTTAATACACAGTAAGTTGCGCAACAAAAGGCATCCGTTTTAGCACTAACTCCAAGTAGCCAGCACTTACAGTAGCCCTGATATTTTCTCATGACCACTTACGACGTGAATTGACTAGATCTAGCGGGAAATAAGATTCGGCGACAAAACGGAACGTTTATGAAACTCGGGAAAAAACTCTTGTAGGTCATTAAAATGTATACTACTCACTTCTACTGGTTCTTTTCTATTAACTTTCATCAAATCTTTCAGAACTAGAAAAGTATAAACAATTAGATATAACGTCATGAACCTGGTATTTTGATTGACTTAGAGGAACTTTCACCTCCAAACTCCAATGGTAATGAGTGGACTTGCTCGGATTTTGAAGCAAGTAATTCTCTTTGGAAATAAAATTAGACGGTAAGAAAGTGGTCTACTTTATTAGTGCATCGTCTGCTTCTTTTTCAGCCTCCTTGACAGCTTCTTCTTCTCGCCACATTTGCCTCAAAAGAACATGATCTGCTTCCATGGTAGCTTGACGTTGATTTAACTGCTTCAAGTCTTCGATTACTTCGACCATTTCCATTTCTTGTTTGCTTTGATCAGTTCTCTTTTCCAATAATTTCATTGGGTTGTTAGCAAGTTCCTCTTCCTCTTCAGCTTGACGTTTAGCTTCCAGTTCTTCCGCCGTTTTTAATGCTTCGAAGTTTCTCTTAGCCCCACTTTCTAGGACGTAATCGCCACTTTCCAAATCGGTCTATGAACAACAGTTGACGTAAAAAATGAAACTCAGGGAGCTTACACGCCAGATTATCTCAGCACAGCACAAAGGACATCGGATGTAAAATCGATAGTGTCTTAGACCCAAGTAATCTACATTTTCTGCAGTTTCCATTCGCGAATTGAATTTTTTAGCTTTGTATATATAACCATTGCACGTATTGCACCTGATGCTAGTGATATTACAATAAACAAAGTTACCTCATATTAAATGGAGCCATTGTTCTAATATTGAACTGTTTACGTCGGTCGCCTCTTCTAAGACGAGGTATTTTTGAAGGATCATAGTCTGGAGGGAAATATTTCTATAATTTATAGTCACCAGTATGATCTTAACTAACTTACATTTAGGACTTTGCGTTCGGTCATTTTTAAAACTCAACCAGAAGAAAGCCCCTGCAGAGAAACAACACAAATATTATTATATGTGAAAATTATATTTGAAATAATCTCAACAATTAAATTTTAAATAATATCAAAGCTTTGTCCAGCTAACCTGTCTGGACTTCTTCAGGGTAATAATCAATTTTGTGATATGTACTGGTCTTAAAAATTACAGTGAATATGTACAGCGAACATATTGCGTTTCAAGTTGTGTGCATTTACTACGACATGTATTTTATTTATTTATTATTTATTTTAACACATAAGTATAGGTACAGGGAGGCACCAAATACATATGCGCCACACAAATCTCAATTGAAATGTGTGAGGGCTGTGATACTGCTCGGGTGCCCAAACCGAAGCAGGTGGTTTTCTTAGGGGGCCACACCCCGAGCCTTCGACCTGAACGTCTGACCCACAAGGCAGTGGAGCATCGTGAGGAGATGCAGTCCCATGGTAGCCGGTGACCAACGATTGGTTCATACGCCATTTGTTCCTTCAGGACATGAATTGACTACAGTATTGAATGTTAGATGGAAAAACTACAGAAAACTAAATCGTGGTTGAAAGCGAGAGAACAATAAACGTCAGACATTCCACAAATAAATAGAGGCACACAAGCTTTCATTATACAATACGTTTTCATCTTATTTCGTCGTTTGACGCACAACACAAAAATGAATGTTATGTAGCATTCTAGAGCAAGTGTCAGATCTATTTCAGTAAGGCCATTAAAATCACATAAACTCCTTCCTCACAATACAATACGACTGGCGTGCCACCCGTTCTATTACGTTTCAAAATCTTTATACTTACTTAAATTATAACGTTAAGATGGTTTTTAGTATTTTCATTTGTTAACGTTTTCTTCCATGCTTTGAATTAGAAGGATCAACTTTACGCGTATCTGAGTACTAGCATGAAAAGAGGTTCATGTCTATAAATCGTAAGGGGGATGTCTGAAACTTCTGGATCGATAACGCATAAAGTATAATAGATTGCTGTGTCCTAAGGACGTCTTTCCATAGTTGATATCAATCGATACTCTCTGGTACTAATAGTTAAGCAAAGTTGAAATAACAAATTGAGATATAACGTACTCTTTTATTTTTCTAGTATCACGATGATACCATGAAGTTATGGACCTCTGGTCTATTTACGCGTTTTTCAAGGTCACAGTTTATACCAAGCTCTCCTAGCGAAATCTAGTCTTCAGTCTTCAGTAATAAGGATAGGAGGTCTATCGACCTGTATTAATCCTTGCAGTTTGTAATACTGTGGAGGTCCAATCTCTTCTGGAATATATCAACAGAAGGTGCTGATATTACGTGTTCCGATAGAGAATTTCAATAATTCACTACTCGATGAGAGAAACGAAACTCCAGACGTAAACGATTTGATCTCGGTTTTTGAATTTTTTTCGAGTGTCCTCTCAAACGATCAGTCCTAGACGGAAGTAAAAGATAAGACATGTTAATACCAAGCTCATCGTTCAGTATACGATAAGCCAATATTAGATCACCCCGTATTCGACGGTAAGATAAAGGAAATTAGTTGAGGTGTCTCAATCTGTTTTCATAAGATAGTCCAGAGAGACCTTGTACCATCTTAGTACCTCGTCGTCGGACTCGCTCTAGCATATCTGCTTCATACTTGAAACAAGGACTTGCTGCTTGAATCCCATATTCTAAATGTGGTCGCACATAAATCGGGTGTAGTAATCTAAACATTTCGTCATCTAAATACTGAAAAGACCTACGAATAGACCATAATACCCTATAGCCTTTTGCAGCAGCAGCCTTACAGTGACTAGTGGTTTTGAGATCACTACTTAATATGACTCCCAAATCTTTATAGTTTCTTAATTTGGGTAGTACGAATCCACGTATTGTATAGTGATACGATTCATCATTGTTATTTAATTGCATCACCACACTCTTATTGGGATTTACTTCAAGTGACCACCTGTCTAACCATGCCACCAATGAGCTAAGATCATTCTGTAATACTATTCTATCTGACATACTATGTATGGGTCTATGAAGATCACATCTACAGGAATATTCGGATCTTTTGCAGCAGCCCAATCTTCTCTTGCGATGAGAAGATTTGTCAAGCACGATAGGCCTCTCCGAAAATCATGTTGTTCCCTGGAGAAAAGATTATGCCTTTCAACATAGTTTATAACAGATATCCGAATGATTTTTTCCATCAGTTTTACAACTGCACTCGTTAAGCTAACGGGTCTATAGTTACTAACTAAATCCCTACTCCCAGCCTTATACACCGGACTTATTATAGCGTCTTTCCAGTCTCTTGGCAGTATGGACTGCTTCAGAGACATGTCAAACAGTATCGCCAATGGTTCAGCAATTACGTCTGATATGGTTTTCATAATCCTAGGATGAATATTATCACGACCACTGGACTTATCAGGTTTGATATGCTGAAGTAGCCTTAAAACAGTACCTTTCTCAATGACCACAGGATCCATCAGCGAGTCGTTACGGTCATAACGAATCGTTGGTCGTTCCTCATTAGTGATAGAAAACAATTTACTAAAATATTCCGATAAAGCTCCAGCTTTTTCTGTATCATTCTCTGCCAAGATTAACGGATTTTCTTGTATCAAAAGTGATAGAATTCCATCACTTCCCTGAGTTCTTTTTATATACGAGAATAAACGTTTCGGACTATATCTAGAATCCCTAACCATTTGTTTTTCTTATGATCGTCTAGTCTTACTTATTAAGCTTTACAGGCATTCCTAGTCTTACAATCACTGGATTGGTATTTTTCTAAGCCAGTAGCGATGAACATATTCCAGTACTTCTTCCTTCTTCTAAGAAGTTTCTTAACTGGTTTGGTTATCCATGGTGGACTATTATTCGGTCTTCGCGGACTTATTTCTTAGACTACGAGCGTTGGCATATAAAACTCCTAGGTAGAACGGCCTATCCACATAGGCCTTGGTAGCATTCGCTTCCAAGACCTGACTATCCGAAAACCCACTAACCGGAGATTTTGCTCACCATTTTGTCGACGGGTTTCTAGTTCAGCTAGTGCTTTCTTTCTTTTTATTCTATCTTCGAGAGACATATCAGGTGTAACTCGGATATCGGAATTTTCGTGACAACGAGCATTACTTAGCAGGAGATCCCGTTGCTTCTCTGATCCTAGGATTACCTTAAGGAGTCTGCATGGTCGAGGTTCAGCACTGTCATCGGTCCTCTTGCCTATTCTTACCAGCTTTTTGACCTGAACTACTTTAGAGTTATCTGGTAAGATACTACGAATATATTCTCCCAGCTTCTCTAAATCATGCGCGTGTCTAATTTTGGGATCAGGGTCGTTTGACTCCAGCAATATGCTTACACTAATATTCGATGATATTAGATTCTTCTTTTCAGTCACGCCTGGGTAGGTTTCCCTCTTACTATCGGATTTTGGTAGTACGTTTTGTGACTCACAATGGGAGTCCACCAATGACTTGCTAACCACCTGCGCACTACCCAGAGCTTTTTTCTTTTCGCTTCGTTTTTTCCGTACTGTAGTCCATTTTTCATCCCTCAGGACAGCGGGACTATTTGGAACAATGACGGTTTTATTCAGATCTTCAGTTTCCACTAGAGGTGCATGGTTACCGATGTCAGTTTCAGGTGGTGCTTCTTCCCTCGTTAATGTTAACGGAGATTTCACTTTTCCGTCAATCGAATTTGGGTGTTTGAGGCGTCTCGTAATAGCAGGTACTACACTGACACATTCGTCACTGTCAGTGCTCGTGTTATCAGTGCATGCCCTATCGTTTTTCTTACAGGCCAAAGCCAATAGGCTCATAGCCTCTTGTATTAGTAACGTCTTATTTGCACAACAAAACATGCACAGCCAATGTGAGTTAGACTTTGAACATCTTTTGTATGCAGTGGGACTTAAACGAGTGCACATCATATGAAACCACTTTTTGCATTCGTCACACTGCATTCCTTCATCCACAGGGAATAAACAGTGTGGTTGTCCACATTTGTGAGTACTACCAACCATTTTAGTCAGATGAGGGTGTAAAAACAATATGAACACTAGTGTCAGTCAATGAGGAAGAGGGTATCACAAGACAAACCTTAGCAAGATTAAAACCTTAACTAAAGTACTTTAATATAGACCAAGAATGCTTTTGATGCAACAAGTACACAAAAGCAAGTATAATCACAAGATACAAAATCATTGCCCTTTTTTGAACATCCAATATTTTGTCATGAGCTCAAATAAGCAAATATTTCTGGATGGAACAGAAAACGCTTTCGCCTAACGGGCTTCTGTATCTATTAGCAGTGAAAAACTGATGTTGACATGCGGAAACCTAGGTATATTTAACAATGAAATTATGAATACTAGTAGATTGTACTGACATACTGTCTTGAGTCTTGAAGAACAATGTTAAGTTTATCTTAAGTTAATGCTGTAAAGACACTAAGATTAGCTCACTCGTCAGCAAATTCTAGACGTTAGTTACTCTTGAAGAGTAAATGATGTGACTACAGTCCACAGTGCTATGATGTCTCCAACTTCTGGGTGTTAGCCATGGAGTCTGTGCTGGAACTGAGCTTGAGTAGGTATTAGGGGATACTCAAGAGTGTTTGTGGTGCAATAATTCACTAAACATCTACCTATGTGACGCCTATATTCTAAAGAGTAAATATTCAACGATTCGTGAGATTGATGTCAAATGTTGGCGTCTGTTCTCGTAAGATTGGTGTATTAAATCTAACAGCCACGTGATTGCATGTCTGTTCACTTGGTCCAAAAGATTTATGTCGCCTTTAAAGACATGCCTGTTCACAGCTAAGTATTTTACCAACCTATAATTCTAACAGATATTTGACACGTATCTTCAGATATACAAAACACAACCCCTGTTACGCCCAAGTTTTTGCTCCTTCCCGTTATTGAAGTACGGTATGTCGATCTATTTGTAATTTACGAACCCAAATTAACAACAGAACCAAAAACCAAATCAGGTACCAAGTTTATTCGCAATTCACAAATAGTCGACCAAATGTCGTTCTAACAACAACAATAATTATAATAATTACAAAACAAACCTTCAATTTTATAGGTTCCCGGAGCAAAAAACTTCCAATTACCAAGCCAAAGACAAACAGAAACCAAAAAATGTCCGAAATAATGATATAAACAAACAAGTTCAGAAGTTAAGTGAAACAAATACATCCAAAAACCAGTGAAATTAATGATATTTAATATAAAGTTTTTAATCAGCCAAATGTCTTCAGTTCTCCCGTAACACTCCCGACCAAAAGAACCTTGGTTCTTTTCACAGACAAAATAGGTAACAGCGATCCAAGTATGTGCATCACAAGCAATCAACAACAAACATTCAATATACCGACAATCTCGTGATCCCTAGGACTTACACCAGTACGCCTAGGGATCCGATTAACTACCTACCATCTACCGCTTCAAGAAGACACAGTTTACGTATATCTCTCACTAGAATACCCTTTCTCGTCCTCAGTTCTACCTGTCTTACTAGTCTATCCTTGGTATCACTCTTTGTACTAGACCTAAGGGCCACTTGTTTTTCTCGGAAAAGTCAGAACATATCATTACTAAGTCACCCTCACGTATATTCCTCTCTAGTTGTGTCCACTTGTAACGACGCTGCAATAGTGATACATATTCCTTAGACCAACGTCTCCAAAATACTTGTGCCAAATAATTCGCTTGCTTCCATCTCTTAGAATACCTGTCATTAGATAGAGTGTTAGCGAATTCTGCAACATTCTCTCGCAATAGTAATAGTTTCGCTGGTGTTATTGCATCAAGATCCTTCGGGTCGTCTGTAACGGGAACCAAAGGTCGATTGTTAATTATACGTTCAGCCTCTGTCATGAAAGTTTCAAGACATTCATCTGTTAAAGGTTGTTCCTTTACAAGAGTACTCAATACCCTACGTACAGAGCGAATCATGCGCTCCCACACTCCTCCCCAATGACTAGCAGCCGGAGGATTGAAATGCCAGTCAATCCCCTTTTTTAGCAAATCAGAGTGTATACGTTCCTGTACCCAACCCTGAAGACATTTTCTTAGTTCATGTTCAGCCCCCACTAGATTTGATCCATTATCACTGAAGATCTCCTTTGAATAACCTCTCCTGCTGACAAATCTCATTAGTGCCATGATAAATGAGTCGGTCGTAAAACTATATGCCACCTCCAGATGCACGGCTCTCAATTTTAAACGAGTGAATACACAACCATACCGCTTCTCAGTATTTCTACCATGTTTGACCATAAGGGGTCCAAAATAATCTACCCCAACTGATAAGAACGGATAGTCACCTCCTTCTATCCTGACCGGAGGTAATGGCGCCATTAGTTGCTGAATGGGACGAGCATTCCTTCTTTTACAATAAACACAATCCTTTATCACTCTCCTCATGGCCACACCGCCCCTCAGCACCCAAAATCTTTCTCTGACCGTCGCCATTACCTGTGTAGCTCCGACATGTCCCTCCAAAACATGATAATACCGTAGAATCAAATTTGTAATTGTGTGCTTCGATGGTAATATTATGGGATGCTTCCTCGACTCGGACCAGGAACTAATTTGAAGTCGACCACCGACACACAATAATCCGTCTATGATCATTGGATTTAAGATTCGTAAGGGTGAATTCGTTATTTTCACCTTGCTAATGTTATCAGACGACAACATTTCAATCTCTTTCCGAAATACTATGCTTTGGACATATCGAATTAAATCTAAACAAGCTAAATTTAGTTCATCAACTCTGAGCATACCCACCTGTAGGGATAGATCACCTCTGCCAGAATACATTATTAACAAATATTGCTTAAATCGGATCATCCATGCAACAGCCTTAAGTAATCTAGTCCAATCTGAATAATAATTAATAAGTAGATCAACAGTGGATTCTCCAACCATTACATGCATAGACATTGCCTTCTTTAATTCCAAGAGATGGGGTTCAGGATCTTGTACATTTGCATCAGGCCAACACTCCTTAGGCTTCCTCAAAAAGTGAGGTCCTTCCTCCCATACCTTGACATGATCGATGTTGAACCCTACCCCTCTGGATGCAAAGTCTGCTACGTTCTCCTTAGAAGGTACGAATCTCCATTGGTCCACCTTAGTAAGACTGTGAATAGTCGAAATCCGGTTTGCTATGAATGTTTTAAACTGGCTTTTCTCATTTCTAATATAGTGTAAGACAATCATGGAATCCGTCCAAAACTTAACTTCTGCAAACTTAATATCTAACTCGGACTGCAGCTGGGACCCCATACGCGCTGCTAACACTGCTGCAGTAAGTTCCAAGCGCGGTATAGTTTGAACCTTCAAGGGGGTTACTCTTGCTTTAGCCGTAATAAGACGAGAATATATTCCAGTGTCAAGGATGCAAGATCGGATGTATGCCACTGCACCATATCCAATTTCCGAGGCGTCACAGAAAATATGAAGTTCCAGAAGCGAGCGATCTGATTGTGGAAACAATACACAACGTGGAAAACTAACGTTCTCAACCCTCTGAAGTTCACTTAGAATCTCTAACCAGCGTTTGCATTCCTCACTTGGAATCTCTTCGTCCCATCCTAGTCCCAACTTACTTAAGCGCTGAAGTAACTGCTTCATAGGAAGTATAAATGGTGCTAACAATCCCAAGGGATCGTAAAGTGAGGCTACACTCGACAATATACCTCGCCTAGTGAGGGGGCGTTTCGGTACGCGAACTTTAAATTCAAACGCATCAACTATAGTATTCCAAAATAATCCCAATGTGCGTTCCGTAGGAAGCCTCTCAAAGTCAATTTCTCTTACGGCCTCTGCTCTCTCATCTGGATCAATTGATTCGAGAACCTGTAAACAGTTACTTATCCACTTGGTAAGTCTGAATCCACCTTTTCTGAGGAGTAAACCTAGGGCTTTTGCAAGCTCGATTGCATCCTGCACATTATCGATTGAGGCTAAATAGTCGTCGACATAGAAACTCTTATCTACGACTTCTCGAACATTTTTATTCAATTCTTTACCGAATATATCTACCGATTTCCTAAGAGCGAAATTAGCGCAAAAAGGAGAGGACACGGCTCCAAACGGATGGACTGTTAAACAGTATTCCTTAGCCCTTTGTCTTATATCACCGTCTTCCCACCACAATAGTCGAAACGCTCCTCTATCTTGTCTCGGGATCTTTACTTGAAGAAACATCTCCTCGATGTCAGCGGCTAATGCTACGTTACCTAATCTGAATCGTAGAAGTATACCAATTAAACTATTTACAGTATTTGGTCCTCTCAAAAGCTGATCATTAAGAGAGCAACCTTGATAGACAGCTGCACAATCAAAAACAATTCTCAATTTTCCAGGCTTTTTAGGGTTGATAACAGGATGATGAGGAATATACCAACAAACAGCATCACGGTCAAATCCCTCCTTACTAGCTTCAATGATGTAGCCCTTACTTAAATGCTTATTCATTACAGCTTGATATTTCTCCAGAAGACTATTATCCTTCATAAACCTCTTCCTTAAACACTCTAGTCTGCGTTCCGCTAGTTCCAAATTATTCGGTAGTCTTGGCTTATCATACTTCCACAGTAGACCAACTTGGAAATGGCCACCCTCCAGTCTAAAGGAATTATTAACTATTTCCAGAGCTCTTTTATCTTCGACAGAATATTCATTACGAAACACATCTGCATCCTCAAACTCATGATTATATAATCTTTCTATATCTCGCAAAATATCATTAGTAGAACAATGACACCACTGAACTTGATGTAGAGACCTCGATACTCCTTTAGGACCTAAAATCATCCAACCGAGATGAGTACGCACACCAAACGGATGCTTCCTATCACCCAGGCGTTGTTCAAGGACCCAATGTGCATCAGGAGCATCACACCCAATCAATATTCCTACCAGATTACTTTGCAACCTCGGAAGGGTTATGTCCCTTAAATGTTTCCACCTTCTCAGCTGGAGTTCGGTTAAAGGTTCTGCATAATCGATCGGAAGTTTCTTGGTCGTATAAGCCTTGTTGATCTTTATAGAACCCCGTTGATCTAACGAAAATACCTCTAAATTTACTTCCAAACACTCACAAGTAGAAGTTCCATTCACAGTCGTCACCCTTATCGAAGTCTCCTTACCTTCGATACCCAACCGATTAATTAACTCTTCACATACAATAGAGGTATCTGAACCACTGTCTAGAAGGGCGTATGTTTCCAAACATCCTTTGGGGCCGTATAGTCTAACCGGAATAATACCCAAACAAACCTTTGAGGAGTTGAAATCCTTAGCAAAGTTCACCATATGTTTATTATTAGCATCAATATGTAATAATGGATTATGCCGAATCCTACAATTATCAACGTCACACCTTATGTCCGAGTTACACGACTTGGCTATGTGACCCTTCCTTAAACACAGGTAACATAGACCCCGTCTTCTAACTTCCAGTCTTCTTTCTGTAACATTCATTTTCGATAACTTCATACAATCTTTCTCTTTGTGATGACCAAAGCAAATTTCGCAACTTAAAGTCTTGAGTGAAGTGCTTGGTTCCCGCTTAACTACATTGAGGCGTGATCTTCTATCAACGTGGCCTTCATAATTACCTTTACGGAACTTTGAGTTACAATGTACCAATCTACCAAAACGTGATCGAGCAATCCTGGCTCTTTCTTCTACAAACATTACTAATTCTTCAAAGATCGGCTCCCTACCAGCCATCATGATCCTATCGGCAGCTTCCACCCATTTATTCTGCAATTCTAAAGGTAAACGTGACACAATTATTTCCAGATTAGCCGTAGAATTCACATCAGACATATACCCCATTTCCTTCAACGTTATGCATACATTACGTAGCTTAATTGCGAAGTCAGTTAAACCATCGGCGGATCCTTCAACAGATTTGTGGTTGAGTAATTCAGTAATAAGATTACGAGCGACAAGGTGTTCTTTACCAAATAGATCATATAAAATTTGTTTAGCTCTATCGTAACCCAAATGACTGGGCAAAGAAATACAAGCTTCAATAGCCGTTCTGGCCTTTCCTTTACAATAGTATGACAAATATGACAACAACTGGCATTTGTCAGACAGTTTACTCTCGATAATGCTTGTAAACTGACTAATAAATCGGTGGTACTGGCTCGGTTGTCCATCAAAAAACATCATATCAATCTTAGGCAAGACCGTACTATTAACCGTAGTACGTAACGTATCCTTTAATTCATTAATCCAATCGCATTTTGTGTTGTTAAATACCTCCCCGGAATGCTTATTATACGCAGTGTCACAATCCAAGTACCTTTCCACCTTAGCATTTGTCTCAGACCTGTCTACTGGCAGTCTGTTATCGTTTTCTATGACCTTACATTCCAATTCGGCCATATCAACCTCCTCTTGAAGTTCTAACATCTTAAGCTGCCTTTCTAACTCAAGCCTCTTTTCCAAAATTTTCTTCTTTAGTAATGCTTTATCTAACCTCAATCTAGAAGTACTAAACTGAGCTGAGGACATACTATTAACACTAATATCATCACGTTTATCATCAATAAATTCAGACATACCACAGACAGCTTTAGAAATTTTACCATCCATTTCGTCATTTTCTTTCGGTTTTTTGCTTCTCGTTTCCATCGTATGCCTTTGTTCGAAAGAATCGGTTACCAAAACTAATAAGAATTAATCCAAGCGAATTCGACCAATATGACCAAATATTGGACCCAAAATGTCCAGACGAATCCAATGTATTACAACAGAACCAAAATTGAAGAACTTTATGTTACGTCCAAGTTTTTGCTCCTTCCCGTTATTGAAGTACGGTATGTCGATCTATTTGTAATTTACGAACCCAAATTAACAACAGAACCAAAAACCAAATCAGGTACCAAGTTTATTCGCAATTCACAAATAGTCGACCAAATGTCGTTCTAACAACAACAATAATTATAATAATTACAAAACAAACCTTCAATTTTATAGGTTCCCGGAGCAAAAAACTTCCAATTACCAAGCCAAAGACAAACAGAAACCAAAAAATGTCCGAAATAATGATATAAACAAACAAGTTCAGAAGTTAAGTGAAACAAATACATCCAAAAACCAGTGAAATTAATGATATTTAATATAAAGTTTTTAATCAGCCAAATGTCTTCAGTTCTCGCGTAACAACCTCAATCAGTATGTGTAGCCGGAAACATTAGACAAGGAAACATGTTTACTGAGAGCGTCTGGATCAGCTCCCGATTAACTTAACCTAGCGGAAAACTAACTCAATCACACGTTAGAGTTAACAATGATCCGGCAATCAAAGAGCAGAAAGGTTTTTATTGACATAGCAACAATTTTCGTCCAACTTCAGATTGTCAGAGACTTAGCGGGAAAACGAATCTCTGACCGAACTCTCTTTATCAACCTGAAAGCTAACTTGAAAAATACAACCGTTTCGCCAAACATCGATTTAGTTAAAGCGCGTAATCGAATTCACCTCATGCAGATGACATTGCAAGAAAGACATCCTCATTCATATCGGGCCTATCAAATTCAACTGAGAGGGTGTTCGCTTTTCGAGTTGTACCACATCTGAAGTGCATGGTTTAAAATTTCTTAGTTTATAAAGTTTACAGCTATCAAACACGGAAACGCATTGTTTGAGAGTTCGAGGTGGCCTGAACGTGCTAATTATAGTTGTCGTGAGAATGCCTATGGTACCTGATGGTCAACTCCTCTGTAGTATATTGTGACTTTGAACTTCATCGTGACTATCATCTACTAGCTCAGGTAACAGCCATGCAGGTTGTTTCTTGGGTTTATGCTGATCTTCTAGCAGTACATATTATGGCCCACGGTTTATTGTATCCAATTGGTATTAGTGAGGAAAGTCTCTCCATAACGTGTGGTGAATCCAAACTTGCCTTCAATGGCAGCAGCCTATTATTTGCTTTACTTCGACCTTTACCAGGAGCGATAACATGGCTAGTGTGGTACTTCTTACGATTATTGGATTGTAATTCTCCCAACGTTTCTTATCAAAGGCTCACCTACTTTCTAATAAGTCACTTTACAAGTCTGGAGCATTAAATAAAATCTGACAGGTTTGTGCAAAATCATTTCTCCAGCTTTAGCCTTTTACTAATTATGCTTCAGGCATTTTTTTTTACAGAAAAACGCACACACTGTTCTTCACTGTTTACAGATACTAAACTTATAGCAACAGTCGGTAATTTCATTGGAGAATTAGTTCGAGTTGAGAATCCCATAATCGCGTGTTTGGTTTAGCCTGTGTATGACGATCTGGATATAGAGGTGGATATTTATACGGTTACCTGTGACGGGATCTTATACTTCTATTTTATTACTTCAGTTGATGTATTTTCTTTACACTGTGAGCAAACTTACCAGAACTCTGCATAGGGTAACTTAACATAAACCTATTGTACTGCATAGGTACCGCAGTATCACGTAGATAGTAAATGCAGCCACCACATGGATTGCAATCAAATATAAAGTCGCCGGTTTTTACGAGCGCAAACATGCGATACGCTTGTTCTTTAAGTGCTGATTCTTATCAGCAGTCAGCAAATCTGGCAGTTTGAGACCTCATTTTCTGTCATTTACTTTTAGTTTACTAGTCCTACTAATAGAAAGAACCTGAATGAGAGTATGATCTTGTTTACGTAGTTGGAGGTTCAGTTTTGTTGCTTGATTCGAGAGATTTATGTTTCGAACATTACTCCAACTTTTTAATTTTGTTGTGTCTTGAGATTTCTTTAAATCCTACGTCGAGAAATGGAGATTTACTACCAATCATTGACCTCAGTATTAAGACCGCCAATCTCTGAAGTCGCCCTCGTATATAATGTGTATTTACCATTGGCGACGTTTTTACTTCACACGCTACTCAACAGGCTTAAAGTGAAATTCTAGACAATTTTAGGGGAAGTACGCGTGACAAATGTTCTGAGGGTGAACAATAATAATGATAAGTGAAAATATGCTTCATGGGGATTGAAAGTTTGAGACATGAAATCGTAATATAAACTTTGACCGTCCTAGCAGCCAATTTTGCGTGTAGTCAGTAATTATTTCACAAGTTCTGCGTTTAGAAGTAAATAGACGTGTTTCTGCAACAGTTGAAGCTACTATGGTGAAGGCAGCTGACAGGAAAGATCAGATCAGTAGTAAAATAATTTAACCTTGTTGTGAATGTGGTTTTCAGATTTGTCCACAAACATGGTGAAGAGGCAGCTCGTATTCTTGGAAGTGTTGGATATTGGAATGACCTTTGTACGTCCTTAGGGCGCTATGTTCAAAGGACTTGCGAAATTCGTCTGATTTGTTGTTTTTTTTAATTCTCTGGCTAAACACATCAATTATGGACTCAGCAGATAACCCTTTTGCCTCACTTGTGAAGAATTCATCAGTCGGTAATGTGTATCATAGGTTTTTGAGGCAATTTTCACTCAGGTCTGGGTCCAGCAATTTTTGGTGCCTGTGAAACTGAGGTTACTAAAATCTTGGAGAACATACTGCTCGTTACTCATGATAAAGGTTTGAAGTTATTCACATGTTTTACGTTTACAGATCTTGTTCTTGGTGAATCCGGTAGACCCAGTCATTTACTTTATATCCAACCTTTCTCGTTTGGAAATGTGCAAATTTCCGGGAGCAGTTTAGATGAACTTATATTTGACCGCACTCAAATGAGAAAGTTTAACGAATACGATGTTGTCAGCCTTAAGACAGGTGCAGCCACGGATATCAATGACGTTTTGGCTTCCAATCCAATTAGATATTTGGTTTCTTCTTATCGCCGTGCGTGTGAAATTAAACAGACAAACGCTGTGAGTAGATGTTAAACCATCAGTCTTTATGTTTGCTTGGCTTTGTTGTGTCGTTGAGATCTTAAATTTCATCCTTCTACTCCGAAATTAGCGATAAACAGCTGTTGTTGAACTGTTGCTATATTGTTTTCTTTTGTTACTTATCAGGAAGCAGTGTTATAAACTAACTGGTTTCCCCTATATAAACTTTAACTCAGGTTGAGCTTGCTTCTGTTTAGATTGTTTCAGTTCAGTGGATGAATTACTCTTTTGGATCGATACAGTATATTCCACTTTGTGTTAACGTTCTGGGAATTCTATTAGTTTGAGTGTTTATGACGCAAAACCGTACATTATTGTATCAGTACATGGTTAAAACTCTTCTTATCGTTGTATGTTTGCAAGGAATTTGGGAGTTATAGATACCATAAAATTAGGCACTTTGTTCCGTTTGTTCCTTGACCAACTGATTTTTAATTTTTTCGTGTTATGAGATCCACTTTTAGCATCATCAGTTCATTCAGAGTTGTTTCGAATGATATATTGAGTTACTGAAAGCAATAATTATTTCTTTATTATGATATTAGGCTAAGTAGTTAAAGTTGAAATGCTCTATTACTTAAAGGTGCTCATATGAAATGATGGTCACCTTGTAAAAAGTTGTCTTCTCTGCAATGCATACCACAGTTTTGAAGAGACATTTATCGTTACTTCACTGCAGCCTGTCTGAATAAGTCAACAGAACTCCCTGTTACTGTATGTTATGAATTTTTCGATTTTATAACTTTTCGTACCGATAGCTATAGTATACGACCTTTTACTTTAATCTGTTGCTGTCAGCCCTTTCATATTCACAGCATTAATATTAGTATAAACTTGCCTTATATCGTTATGTGTCAGTACTGTCATATATATTTTGTTATGTCAGCTTTCACAGATCGTTGAAGATTGTCGCAAAAGTATTGTCAGACAAATTGTACTTCTGTTGCTTGTTGATGCTGAGTCTGATAATCCAGAAAGCAGCACGAACCTATTTGATATCATTTATCAAGCTCTCTGCACAGGTATGTTAAATTGAGGTTACTTTTCGTTTGTGAACTGGTAACCTTTTTAGTTTGGAGTTTTGCGCAAAGTACACTTCACTCTTATAAATTAAATATGCACTCTGTATACAGTTTTTTATTATTTTGTCTAATGAATGTTTTTAACTTTTTAATTTTAATAGATGACGGCGATCAAATTGCTTATATTCAAAAAATGTTTGACGAAGTTCTTAATCATCTAGAGTCGGAATCTCTATCGGATGTAAGTATAGACGAATCCTGTCCTCGGTCTGCATTAAACAGTTTACGACCGTTGGTCAATCGCCTTCTAATTCAGCTGAGAAATATTTATTATTCCTCAGTGCAGTCACCAACAGTAGTAAATAGCTTCCTAAATAAACAGTTAGTGGGTGCTAGAGAACGTGTCTTGTTCTGTCCTCAACGCCGTCCTCTGTTGATCATGACAATTTGGTTATCTAAGTATTCAGTCACTGCTCAGGTATGTCTATTTCAGGTTATTCGGTATGTTCAACATTCTAATAATTATTATCAAATGATGCTTTTGTTTGGGATGTTTTTCTCGTTTGTTTACTGTTCTGGTCAGTGGTTGGTTGCATTTTTCTGTACTGAAGGTGATTCTTGGACTTCTATTCACTCTCAAATGCGCTGGTACGGCCGAAGGTAGGGAGAGTTCACACTTACTCTCTAAATGCTCTCACATGGCCACGCGTATACAGCTACTGCCAGGGAAGTCCTGCTCACTGACTTCTTGAAGTGGCGGTGTTGATTACGAAATTGAGAAAACAAAAAGCGAATGTCCAGCGCTTTAACCGGGTTGGTGTATACAGAGGATTCACCTAGAGGAGTAGAAAAACCCTAATTTTAAATCGATGGTGTACATGGGCTCTAGGATCCTGAGGGAAAAATGGCGTATGAACCTATTATTGGTCACCGGCTACCATGAGACTGAATTTCCTAATTTTGCTCCACTGCCTTGTGGATTAAGCCTTTAGGTCGAAGGCTCCGGGTGTGGCCCCCTAAGAAAACCACCTGCCTCGGTCTGGGTACTTGGGCAATATCACAGCCCACACACAAATCAAGTGACTTGTGTTGCGCGTATGTAGCTGGTACCTCCTTGTACCACTATCTATGTGTTCAAATAAACAAATAAATTCGCTACACGATGC